GACCGCACTCAATTCATTCAGCTTAAATCCTTTCGTTCCCAGTCTTCCCCCATCTCCACGGGTGTCCCCCAAGGCTCTGTCCTCGGACCCCTCCTCTTCATCATTTACCTCCTTCCTCTAGGTCGCATCTTCCGTAAATTTGGTGTCCATTTTCACTGTTGTGCTGATGACACACAACTCTACTTGTCAACAAAACCAAACTCCACCCACCCACCCTCCATCCTCACCGACTGTCTCAATGAGCTAAATCACTGGTTTTCTAACAATTTCCTACAACTAAACAGTGGCAAAACAAAAATCATTCTTGTCGGTACCAAAAACTTTTTCAAAATCAGAAAATCTTCTCATCCCCCTTAACAACTCCCTGCTATCCCCCTTGCCTCAGGTCAAGAGTCTTGGTGTCATCCTCAACACCACTCCCTCCTTCACTTCACACATCAACAATGTTACTTGGTCTGCCTATTTCCATCTCAGAAATATTAACAGTCTCCGCCCTTCTCTCACACCCCGCTCCACAGCTATCCTTGTGCACAGTCTTGTGACTTCTCGGATTGACTACTGCAACTCCCTTCTTTATGGCCTCCCCAACAAATCTCTCCAGAAGCTGCAATTGGTCCAGAACTCAGCTGCCCGTGTCATCACTCAAACCTCCTCCTATAACCACATCACTCCTGTCCTGCAGCAGCTCCACCGGCTCCCGGTTAAATCACGCATCGTCTTCAAAATTCTTCTTCTCACTTTCAAAGCTCTCCACAACCTTGCCCCTTGTACCCATCTGGCCTCCTACACATCTCCATCCCCTCTCGCTCTCTCAGATCCTCCTCTTCACTACACCTCCATGTACCCTCTGCCCGCCTCTCCACTATGGGATGGGGAGCAGGGCCTTCACCTGCTCTGCTCCTCATCTCTGGAACTCTCTACCCCCTGACTTAAGAAACACCAGTTCTCTCTCTATTCAAGGCTGCTCTGAAAACACATTTCTTTAGACTCGCTTATCCTTAACTTTGCTGTATGTATTTATATTCTTGTAGTGAACTAGGTATGAATATATCTCATGCATATGTTCATCTACATCCTTTATGTATTTTATATTCTGTATGTATTTTATACTTCAATTTATTCCTGTTGATCTTTGCACTGTGCTTGTTGTTTGTTTTTACACAATCTTTCTGATATGTTTTTTACTGTAAAGTGTCCTTAGGTGTCCTGAAAGGCACTTTTTAAATAAAATGATTATTATTATTATTATTAATAAAGTTGAGATAATCAGAGCTAACGCCAGTCCTGACCTCCGATACAGACGTCATTCCAGGATCTTGAGCGGAAAAGATCCAGATTTTGTTGCTGTAGTTTATATTTTTTTATTTGTTTCATAGTAGAAGGTTAAATTTGCAGCCAAAATGTTACACAGGTAGTTATATTAAATTTCACGCTGTGGTTTGTTGTTAATTGATGTACAATAGTCCCTCGCTACTTCGCGGTTTGTTTATTGCAGATTTGCTATATCGCAGTTTTTCAAAGTAACATTGGACATGACACCATTGACTGATTAATGGATGAGCCATGGGTTGTTTATTTAAAATAAATTATTTAAATATTATGCACCATGTGTGCAGCCAACAAGTGAAGGGGAAGCCCCCTCCTGCAGCTGATCTCCTTCTGTCACACACACATTTCTCCTGCTGCAGCTTTGTGAAGGGTTAACCCTTTGCTGTCCAGATGCACCGATCGACTTTTGTCTTCCAACTTAAAATTCAAAAGTGTTAAAAGTTATTTTTAATTATTTTAGAACTTCTGTGTTCAGTTGTTTCAGTGTAATTGATCAAGAAGTTACATTTCTGCTCCGTGCTGCAGAGCTGAAGCTGTGTGACATCACTTGATGTCCTGCTGCACTTCTGTTCTCTACAGTTTAAATTTAAATACTGTGACATTTTAAATAAACAATCCATGAATTGTTTATTTAAAATGTCACAGTATTTAAATTTAAATTGCTTATTTAAGGAGGGAGATTGGGAGTAACAGGTGATGAATGCGATTACAGCCTGGCACGTCATGACAAAGTTTACTAAACTTGAACTACTGTAGTATCCCTACTTGGCAGTTTTTTCACTGTGGCACCTAACACCCGCGATAAACGAGGGACTACTTTATGTTTTTGTCAGACTTCCTAAAGTTAACTAAACGGAGCTTTTCACCCGCTGACAGAGAACACGTCTTAGCAAAGAGCAGAATGAGTGTTGGCGTTTTTCTTTTGGCTGCTCACCTCTGCAGGGAGTGACCACTGCAAGCGAACTTACATGAAAGATTTGGCTGCGTTTGATGCTGGTTGCCCTTCCTGACGCAACCTGAGCTCAAACTTGCAGCCTCAGGATTACAAGAGCGCAGCATTGACAGTCGAGCTACCGCTGCTCGCTCAAGACAGCAACCTGTGTGTAACGCAAACTTTTAGAGACGTGGAAGCTGTGGCAAACGGTTAAATAACAATCGAAGTTAAAGGGAAGAAGGTGAGATTAGCTGCTTGTTTACAGATGACAGAGAAGTTGTTTCATCCTTTACAGCTGAGCCTTCATTAGTCATGGAGCATGTTGGATTTGGAAATGCTGGCAGGCTCGGAGTTGAGGCATTTATCATTTAGGAAATACACGAGCTAACAATGCTAACCACCATTTAAAGCTCCCACTCCTCATGTTGACACAGTGTAAGACTTCTCTACTTTTAATGAGAAAAATTAATAGTTCACAAAAGGAAAGGCTCATAAAGTACACTTATAAGAGTTTGTTGCTGAATGAAGCCGTTTTTAACGACCGTTTTTTTCACGTTTTTTTCCAAACAAACCACAGACTTTTTTGGTCATCTATCTTTGGTCTATCTCTCTTTATTCTCAGTTTGTATTAAAGCCCTCCAAACAACAGAGTTTAGAGTTTTCTCCAGTTTTATGTGGCAGCAGATGTGTTTCAACCTGCTCAGAGTGGCAGCATTGTTCTGGACTCACCTGTCCCGATTCTTCGTTAGTAGATTCCTCTCGATACCCTCCATCAAGTTTTCAAAACATAAATGCATGGCTTGCTGCTTTTCTGGAGGCTGACTGCTAACGATGCTGTTCCTCAGGTCAGCAAAATACTGCAGGAAATCCAAACACACACACACATTACAACACACACTCAGAGTCATGTGTGTGAGCTGAGGCCTCCGTGGAAGCGAGGTTTACCTTCTCATTGAGCAGGATGAGGCCTAACAGCGGCCGTGACATGGACCACTGGTTCCTGCAGTCCTCGAAGATGATGATGTTCAACACAGTGGACAGCATCTGTGCAGCACCCACAGCAGCAGGTTACACGTCTATTTGTGTGTGTGTGAGAGACAAAAGGTGTCTTAGTTGGGAGATAATCATCTCACCTGCTGGATCATCTCCGGGTGCTGCTGCATGATGTGCAGGAAGCGGTCATCCGTTGCCATGGGAGCAGGGCGCTTCTTGGTGGAGCGTGACAGCTGCTTGAACAGGTAGGTGACTATGTGGTCCAGACTGGAGCAGCAGCCGGTGCACACCATGGTGTCTGACGCACAAAACATAAACTGAAGTAAGGAAACACTAAACACACGTCACCGAGTCCAGCCGGACTGACCGGAGGTTTACCGAGTGCCGTGAGGCCTTCTGATATCGACGACAGGATGTACATGACGACATGCGGCTCCAGGCTGGCGATGAAGTTCATGTGGTCCTGGGTCAGCACCTCCAGCAGAGAGTAGAAGGACTGGCTGAGCTTTGGATAGTCCTGCAGGGACGAGACGACAGTCAGGGAGGAATGTGCAAAAATCTAGTTTTACTTCAGCGCTAAAATCTGAATACCTGAACTTCGTATCTGGGAGGGGAGTAAACTTTTCAACCTTTGATATGAAAACAATGTTTAATTATAACGTTTACTTTTCCATAGTTTGACAGCTTTAAACCAGGTTCTGTCCCAACAATTAAAGACATAAATAAAGCTTCCTCTACTAAAGACATATAGACTTTCCTCTATTCAGTGAAACGCTCGTTTGAGTTTCAAATTAAAGCAAAGCTGATGTCATCATTGGTGTCTGATCAGGCTTTTAAAGATGACCAATAAAATAGAAGCAGCTGTCCCGACTCGTGTAGTTTTTTTTTTTTTTTGTACACAAAACACTAAATATACCAGGACTATTCAACAAAATTGCTTGTGGGGTCCAGACATCCAGCGATTAAAGTCATTATGTAAATAAAACAAAGTTTACAATGATCTGTTACCTTTTTAATTTGTTTATTTTATTGCACTGAATCAAAAATGCAATAAACAGAACCCAAAACCCAAACCCAGAAACCCCCGCCCCACATACACACACAAAAAATAAAAAAAAATAAAAAAATAAAATTATGAAGTGGGCCGGATTGAAGTCACCCGAAGGCCTGAAATGGCCTGTGGGCCGTTAGTTGAATAGCCCTGAAATATACCATCACAAACTGTTATTTCATCATTCATTTCACAAGAAATCTAAATCATTAGATGTCAACCAATATGGATCTGTGGCTGACATCGACCTGTGCAGTCAATGGCAAACAGAAAAAGCAAAACTTATATTTTGGTTGTTTTTGACCCATAATTACAAAAGCTTTTGGCTCATACGCATTATAATCTATCAAGTTTTAATAAAAAAGAACAATATTTGAAGAAATGTGCCAATACTGACAGTAGACAGTGATAGTTTATAATAAAAAACAGCTAACATTTAAACTATCTAGATTTAAATACCATTTTTACTGACAGACTTCACATTTTTTCCCTTTAAAAGTAAGAATATTCCCAAGAACAGCCTTAGAGGTGTTCCAATGCAAGAAAATGTTAAAAACAATATACTGTGTTAGCGTGAACAAAGATGTGGAGGAACATACTAGTAGGTCACTGTGAGGAATGGACAGCAGTAGTTTGATGAATGTCTGCAAGGCGTTGTCTAGAGCGTCGTCGCCGTACAGACGGAAGACCCCGAAGTTTACGTAGTTCCCGCTGAGCACCGCCTTCAGCATCGCAAAGCACACGCTGACGCCCTTCAGCTTCACGCTGTACACCTGGTCCTTCGGGACTTCTCCCAAAGTCAGGATGCGATTCCCTGAAAACAGCAAGAGTATTTCAGAACAGTTCCTCGTGGTCTTTGAGGATGAAAGCGTCAAGGACCAGCAGCTCCTGGTCCAAGTACCGTAGGTCGTGATCATCTTGCTGGTTTCTCTGAACAACAGGATGCCGTTTGGTGACGACACGTCAAACTGAAGCCTCTGTGATCTGCCCAAAAAAAGACAATAACACAAGAGAGCTGAATTTAGACACATGTTTAAAGAAACAATCCATTTAATAGTTTTAAAGTGCAGCTTATCTCATTTCGTTAGACCTTACGTGTGATTTATAAATTATGATCATAATATGCCAGCTGAAAATGTTTGTACAGGTTTGTTAAAGATGTATAAGCCTCTAGATTAACTGCTGAATTGCTAACACAACAGACAAGCATACTGTACACAACAACAGACAAGCATACTGTAC